TACATCACCACTGATTAAAGATGAATCTTAATATGATTTTTGTATAATTGCACAGTAAAAATACATTTTCTGTAATAAAGTGTGCCCCACCTCTGGCTACTGCAGCTTTTGTGTATTTAGTCCACATTTTTATGTATTTAGCTCACATTTTCCTGTCAGTGCTGAGACTGGTAATTCTAGCTGTAGTACAGATATAAGAGGAGGCTGCTCGCCCAGCACTCCTCCATTTTTTTTTTTTAAAGCCTTGCAATATTTTATTACTTTTTAAAATGTTTAAATAAATGCAAGGTATTCTGTGAATAGAGGAAGCATGGGAGAACATCATTATCTCCGTTTTCCACAGACGCAGCAGCAGCCAGAGATGGGGCACTCTTCAGTGGAGTTAACTTATTGTTGCTGTTCAAAAAAATCAAAAATTGTTTTTGGCCAAAGTTCAGCTTAAATTACACAAATCAGCAAAGGCCTGGACACAGTTTGCATGTGACTTTTGTTTGGGCCTTCAGTATGCAGTTCTCGTTTACATTAAGAACATAAAACTCAGGTGATGTTGGCTGCAATCAGATATATATAAAAATATAATTACACTGGATAAAGCCTAATAGAAAAGATAGATTTTGATGAATTTAAATTAGCAATTTTGAGTAATAAACTATATTTTATATATATATATATATATATATATATATATATACACACACACACACCAAAACAAAGCTAACGCATTTTAAAGCATATAGTCATCTTTTAGATTAAAATGTTTGTTACTTATGTATAATGACTTCTGTTCTATACATTTACAGAAGTCACTTTTAGCATTAAATGTAGACATGACATAAAAAAAAAAGGAAAAAAGAAAGGGAGTAAAAACAGTTATCAAACTAACAAATATACCACATATGCCGAAGGGCAAATCATAACCAAAATTTGTACTGTCAATAATATGGTTAACTAGATGGTGACAAAATTGTATATATTAGAATGTCTGCAACATCTGGGCAAGTATGCTAGCTTATAATATTAAAAACAAAGACTTTGCTGACACTTTATTATACTTTGGTGCATTAAAATGAACCATATAATTAAACATAGTAATACTGTAGATGTATTGTTAAACATGAAACATATGGAGCTATTAAATGTAGCCACTAGAGGTCTCCATGTGTCTATCAACATCTCGCTATTTGTCCTGTGTATGTGTGGTTTTAGAATACAAGGTTTACCATTAATTTGTTATTTTGTTTTGTTTTTTGTAATGTCAGTGGGGTATAAATGTAGATATGAAGTGTTAGGGCTGTTTCAGACATGCTGCAGTTCTTAGTATAGTGCAGTGGTCACTAAATAGCGGACCGTGGGACAGTCCTGTCCGGACCGCAGCCTTGCCACTGGGTGTCCTCTTCCAGGCCTCTCACTCAGCCACCGATGTCATCCTCACAATGGGTGGGGTGTGAGGAGCTGTAGATTGGGACTGAGTGGCAGGAGCTGGTGATTACCCAGCTTGTTAATATGTAAAGACTTTCGCTCTCTGCAGCTCAATACAGAAAGTGTCTTTTCATATTAGCAAGCCAGGCAATCACCCACTTGTTAACATAATAACTTGGACAGCTCCCGCCCCTCAGTCCAAATCTGCAGCTCCTTCCACCCCCACCTGCTATGAGGATGACATCAGTGGCGGGCTGAAGGCCCAGGAGAAGACACCCCAGAAGGATTAGTGCCCTCTGCTCTGTTTAGGACTATGCAGGGGAAGGCTTGCATTAAAAGGGCACTGTTTTGTGCTAAGGGGTGCTATGTTGTGCTAAGGGGCACTGCGATGTGAAGGGGAACTGAGGACATTGTGGGACTTCTTTAAAGAGGGGACTTCAAAGCTTGGGATTTTTTATATAATCTAACCCTGCTTTAAATTTATCCACAACTTTATCCATGACCTGTCTGGTGTTTTCCTTGGCCTTCATGATGCTGTTTGTTCACTAATGTTCTCTTACAATTCTCTGGGAGCTTCAGAGAATGGCTGCATTTATACTGAGATTAAATTACACACAGGTAGACTCTATTTACTAATTAGGTGAATTCTGAAGGCAATTGGTTCCACTAGATTTTAGTTAGGGGTATCATAGTAAAGGGGGCTGAATACAACTGCACACCACACTTTTCAGATATTTATTTGTAAAAAATTTAGAAATCCATTTATCATTTTCCTTCCACTTCACAATTATATGCCACTTTGTGTTGGTCTATCACAAAAAATACCAATAAAATACATTTATGCTTTTGGTTGTAACATGACAAAATGTGGAAAACTCAAGAGGTATGAATACTTTTTCAAAGCACTGTAGTGCTGCACCCTGGGTTAAGAATGCTGCAGCGTGTGTGCAGCCCTGTATGGCTGTATTGTGATAGTTCGGGTGGGCAGCTCAGGGGAGGTGTCTTTACTGCACCAACCTCCCATATGAAAGAACCCATAACAGTTTGATTTATACCTTGTATTTGTTTTTTATTTAATTCTTGATACTCATAACTGAGGCATCTGCTAAGATGGTAAAATCTGTGGCATGTTAAAAAGGGATGTTGCATGTCATATAATTTACCGATACTGGATGTGTATTGTCCTTTTGATTAAGCACTCAGAGTTCTGTGGTTGATGTCTGTATACCTGTGCATACAATTCTTTTTCTATAATAAACTTATCAAGCAAGAGAATCAAGCAGTTTTATTATCATGAAATTTTGCTACATAGTAGATGAAAATATGTCTCATCTTTACTTTTATTAGGAATTGATGAGAATCATATTATAGACACCTATTTATACCTTTTTATATGTACCTTTCTATACAAATAAATGCTGATGCCCTGGGTTGGTACAAGACTATTTATATACACTAACACAGCACCATATACAGAACTTTGCCAGCTCCGTAGAGCACAAAGACTGGCTTGGTACTAACAAACAAGAATTTTGGTTCATGAGAATAACCTAATGCACATTAAAGCCCCCAAAACATTTTTTTCAGTTTCCCTGGAAGATTCATCTTGCTTTGATCACTTTGCCAAAAGACAGTATAGCTATATGATCTTTGTTTTTATCACGCATAATAAAAAAAAAACACACATATGAAAATACAGAGAGGATAGGGACAACAATACCTTTTAAACATGGCTGCCGTAGGAGGCATGTGTTAGGTAGGCAATGATAACATATTAGGCTACCTTTTATAAACCCAAAAAGAACAAGAAAATGTATAGCATTTCACAAACAAGTTTCCATTGAAGTCGTATACCTAAACTTATACACATACTACTGCGTTTTTTTTAAGAGTCTGTAGCAAAGTTAAAGCGATGTAAAATTCGTTTTTACTAAGGAATTAATTGAATCATCAACATGAAAGAAGAGGCGGTCATTTTTATAAAGTAAGAAGTTAACGGTCTTCCGAGTTACTCAGGCGTCAGAGATGTGAGTTGTATGAGAACATTACTAACAAGCTTGATGGTGGGTCCTCTTCACTGATGGGCTAACAACAGATACCCTTCTTTAAATTGGGTTCTTCTTCAACTCACAGAGCATGCACAAACATAAAAATAAACTACAATTTCAGGGATATCCAAGTCTGATCTTTGATAAGGCTCCAAGAAAATTGTGCATTACTGCATCTGCAACATATGTTTACCTGTGCAAAAATATGCTTTATCCCAGAGGAACGTCTGCATGCAGGAAAGATTAAATACATATACACCCTCCTAAATATCTCAAAATGTCTGAAGTCACAATCTGCTCTCATGCACTCCAAATATTAAATAAAATGAGAATTCATATCTGACAGTCAATGACAGTTATACATAATTAAGAATGCTCAGAAAAGTATTTTACAAATATTACAGTCTTTGTCGATGGCATAAATAATAGCCATTGGCTATGAAAAGAGTATTTTGGAAATTTCCAGAAATAAAAAAAATGCAGAAATGTTTACTATTTACAGGAGTTTAAAAGGAATCTACCAAAAAATGTTTGCATCTTTATTTCAAAGTAAAGTATTTCTTACGCTGATCGTGTAAAACGTGCATGTACTGGAGCTTTTCCATGTGTTGGAGGTCTCATCTTTGCATGCACATGCTGATACTGCTTGGTGCCCAGTGCTCTGCCTGTTGTCACATGGAGAGAGGCCCTCATTTACTTTTATGATAAACAGAGGTACCATGTACATGCAGTTTAGGTCTGCACTGCAACACACTAAGGTAGATACAATCTGCACAGGAGGTACTGTAACTCCACCAAAGTCCTTTGTAATAGTACAGAAGTAATGATGGGCCTTTCTGCAAATACCATATACGCACTACTACCAAGCTGCACCTCTTCAGAAGCAGATATCTACTTGTGTGAATTAGGCTTCAACATTACATAAGCAGCTCAACAAGTCTTCCCGTTATTTTTGTAGTTAAGTGACAGTGGCACGTTGGCCAATGGTCATGGATCAAAATGTAGCTGGTTAGGTTGCCTTCTGTAGCCTTTTGCCTGATACACTACCAGTTGCACTACTATCACACCCAAAGGGACTCCCAATGCTTGGCAAGCATTCAAAGGCAGCTACTTATACAACTCACAGAATCCCATAATTGGTATATGAGAAGGACAGCTTTCATGTATTGGCACAATAGTGGAAGCCAAGTGCAGAATGAGTATACAGCACTGCAGTAAACCTTTACAAATTCAGTGTGGACTGAGGCCTAATAGCTCTCAACAACTAACAAATTCTCAGAATAATTTCAAATTGCCAGTCTAGAGCTAGCTGAAACCCAAGACCATTGGCTTATGCATGACAGTAGAACAGAGAAGCTTTGAACAAATATATTCCTGGTCCCTTTTCTGCAAGCTTGGATTTCTTTTTATAATTGCAAACAATTTGACTGGTAGATTCCTTATACTGTACAATGGGACCAGTTTCCAGACACCAAAGTCTTACTCAATGCATTATAATTTACAAGCCCCTTCCTCCCTTCTTCCTCTGTAACTTCACATTTTGAAGGTTTTTTCATTGTATCTATGAATTGTTACACAGCCATGGTAAGAGACAGGTCGGGGCATGGCTGCCACTCCAGTAATGATGCTAGTCGCTGGATCGTAGCATAGGATGGTGTCCGTTGCTTCTCCATTCTCACCTCTCCCACCGAGTATAAAGATTTTCCCATTGCAGACAGACATACCACAATTCTCCTGTAAAAAAAAAGGGGAAAATGTGGTTACTGTGCACAAACAAGCAAAAGAATGTGTTATAAGTGCATTTGTGATCTGAATTCTACAGCTGTGGTGCACTCTAGTTAGTTTATAGACATAAACATCTGGACTGTGGCACAGTAGAAACCATACAAATTTTTCCCATTTGAGGAAAATCTGCAGTACCATTTATGTATAGCAACGTTAACCCCACTATATTTGTTACCGCATTATCACTATGTGGCAGTATGCAAGTAGAAATTTGTAACAAACACCAGTGCAGCTAGATGACATAATAGACTAGGTTATATAGTGAGAGAGCTAAGCAGCAGAAGGAAAGTATAGGTAGCATCACTGGAGAGCGCTGGTGAAATCTCACCTTTAAAACTGTGTTCAGTTCTGAAGACCCTACCACCTAAAGGACATGAATAGATTAGAGAATATTTCAAGGAAGGGCTGCATAATAATTAAAGCAGCACACAGGAGAGAGAAAACAATGAGTTCACAACAGTTAAATACAAGACGACAAATGAGAAAACTAAAACCAGAAGAAAATTGGTTCCCAGTCAACCCATTGAAATGTCATTGTTGGGGGACTGTCAGTGTGTGAAAGTGGTATTAAACCCAAAAGCAAAAGTTTCTTATATTGCAGGTTACCAATACTTAGATGTGGGGACTTCATTAGATTTCTTTTTTGGGCTTTTCTTTCTATTATTTTCATCTGGTGATCTGGTCAGTAAGTCTGTAATTTTTCAGCTTCCTTTGACAGGCAAAGCTATCCAGCATGAGTAGCAGTTAGAAAGATAAGACATACCATTTAACACCATTAGGGGTGTTTACAATGGTTAGCTTTTATTCATTTATGTAAAACCTTTGTCCAAAAAGGAAAAGAAAAAAAATGGTTTGCTTTAGCTGCTTAAAGAGTGTTAGGTGGAGTTCAGCTTTAATTTGTTGCTCAAGTCCATTTGACCCTCGGTTCACACTAGGATCCGTTTTGCTGGCTACGGCATGACAGCCCATTCATGTGAATGGGCTGCTGTCTCCCAAAATGCAGGTCCCTGCACCTTTCCAGAAATTGCAGCCTGCACTAGGATCTGCACTATAGTGCATTTCCCAGTGCAGCTGCAATTTCTAGTGCGGGCGGCATTCCATTAACACTAATGGCACCCGACCACGAGTCCCGCCTTTTGTGTGCGGGTAGTTGCATCTGTAGAACAAAGTGCAGGTCCCACAGCGGCTTCCACTTGCACTAGAGTGAAAGGCTAAATTTGCTATTGCATCTAATGCTACCCTATGCCCAGGTTGAGAATGCTGCTGTCCAAGAGTGAAGCCCTTGCTCCTCCATCAGATTACCAAGTGAAAATATAAGGAGAAAAGCCTAAAAAACTGAAAACTAAAGTGATATTAAAGGCATTTAAAAAAAACAAAAACATTTCATACTTACCTACTCTGTGCAGTGGTTTTGAGCGACCCCAATCCTCTTCTCAGGTCCCCCAACTGTGCTCCTGGACTCTCCCTCCTTCTGAGTGCCCCCAGACCAAACAGCTTGCCATGGGGACACCCAAGCAGGCTTGCTCCTGAACAGCTGCTCTGTATGTCCATTCAGGCACACAGCTGCAGCTCGGCCATGCCCCCTCTCTCTCCTCATTGGCTCGCTGGCTGTGACTGACAGCAGCAGGAAACAATGGCTCCCACTGGTGTCTCAGCCAATGAGGAGGGTGAGTCCCTGGAGAGCCAAGGCTCTCGTGCACATCGCTGGATCGTGATGGGGCTCGGTTAAGTATTAGAGGGGCTAAGGGGCGAGCTGCGCACAGGTTTTTTACTTTTGTGCATAGACTGTATATGAAATATATATGATATAGAAATATGCAGCCACCACATTTAGCCCCTTGGCTACCAAGGTACGTTTTACATAAGGGGTTAAAGCAGGTTTATGGCTGCTGCTGCAGCCATGAGCTTGCCATTTATTTTATGAGCTAATAAAGGACTTTCAGATTAATGTGATCTTGGCTAATAATAAAAGAAATTTTTAATTTAAAAAGCACCCCCGCCATCACTGTATCACATGTATGAAAACATTAATTGTGCCGCACATGTGAAGTATCATCACGAATGAGAGCAATAATTCTGGGGCCATAATTCATGGTTAACTCTAAACTGAAAACCTGTAAGGGATTTTAAAGCGTCACCTATGTACCATTTTGGGCACCTCCAGGCCAGCACAGTTTTAAGGCTTGACATGTTTGGTATCCATTTACTCGAGGCAACCCTATCTTTCATATTTTACAAAAATTAAGCATTATATTGTGTTTGTTTGCACTAAAATTCATTTTAGTTTATTTTTTTTCCTTGAAAATAGCTGCACAAATATTGTGTGATTTATAAATTGTAACTACCAACATTTTATTCTCCAGTGTCTCTTTCAGCAGATACGTCACTGTTTAGGGGTTTAAAGTAATTTCCTGCAAGAAATGCAGAATTTAATGTGTGAGAAAATGTAAATTGCCCCAGTAGAGAAATGGTTAAGGATTAATCTGCAATATACTGAATTTTTGGTTTTGGGATTAATACCACTTTAAAGCATATACCACAGCAAAATCTTCAGCTAGAGACTCCACTGCCATCTCTCTCCTATAATCAAGGTCTCCCCAACCCCTTGGAGTTATCCTCTATCTATGATTTTCAACATGGAAGGTTTGATGACTTCATTAAACCCTGAGAGAGATACAGTACCAGTTCCTGCAGGTCAGGGCCCTCAGCTGATAGATGGCTCTGACATATCTAAGCCAGCAATTGTTTTCTCATGCTAGAGTTCAGCCAACAATACAATTTGTTTTTCCTGTGGAGGTAGCTCTTATCTCTTGTCCTGCATTGCTGTTGTCCGTGACATTAGAGGGTCACGAAAGGAAAATAAGCTTTTCAGCTTGTGGTCTAAAAAATCCAGCTGCTGAAAGGGTTTTTCTGAGATACAGTTCAAACTTCCCATTCTTTTCTGCAGCTACAGGATATTTGTACCAAGGTGGAGTAAGAGTCACTCTATGTATCAAAAGTGAAGTCAGACATTAATTACTGGGAGAATTTTATGTGTGGGCAAGGTTGGAGTTGATGTAAACAACCATCAGACTCAGGGTGAGTCATATGCTTTCAGGTGCTTGCAGGGAAAGTGGCTTGCTCTTGAGATGAATTCACCATGATTAAAAGAATGCATTTTTCAAGCACTACAGGTGCTCTTTAAATCCCAGCTGAGAATGTGTTACATCTCACTTCCAGAGGGAGTCCACTAACAGGCTTTACATCTACACATCTACATCTGCTCTCCTGTTCTACTCAAGTGCAGTTCACACAGAGGTTAGGAAGGAACGTGCAGTTCAATAAAGACTAGAAGAGGGTGCTAGAGAATTTAAAATGAAAGCTGAAGTTTTGTTAAAATGTTTTTCTCTCTACAGCCTTAGTTATATTACTTACCTATAATGAAGTATGTCCCACGATGTGCAGGCTGCTGGGTTCTGGAGAAATCTTCACTGCAGAGCTGCTCTGTCCTCTTCCTTCCGCTCACATTCCAGTGTTGTGCGGAATAAGGCTCCATTCACACCTTGAGTGTTTTGTAGTATGAAGCTCAAAGCTCCAAAACGCTCATGGGGAAAAAAATCAATAGTACTCTATGGAAATGGTTCACATCTCCACTCCAAGTCGCCTGAAGCAGAACGCCAGAAGCTCAAAAAAGTTTTGGAGCTACTTTTGTAGCTCAAATAGGGCAAATTTTCACATTTTTGCAGTGTTTTTATTCCCATAGAAAAGAATAGAGATGCACGTTTTTTGATGCGCATTTTGTGCAATTTTCTGCTCAAATTAAAAAATTTAAAAAAAAAAACAAAACAAAAAAAAAAGTAATAATATATGGATAAATAAATGTAAAATAAATACACATATGAATAAAAATAATGATAAATAAATCATAATTAACCTCTAAAAAAAATAATTAATTAATAATAATCATAATAATAAACACCTGAAATAAAATCATTTAATAATAATGATAATAATAAATTATTGGTATTATTAAATTATTATTAATGTGTTACAAGTATTTACTTATGATTTTTATTTAATTTACATTATTATTAATGTATTTTTTGTTTGGATTTAGGTGTTCATTTTTATTTATTTTTATTATTATTAATATTATCACCCTAACCCTAATAAATAAATAATAAGAAAATAATAAATAAAATACTATAAAAAAAAAGTTAAATAAATGACTAACCCCAACCCTAACCCTTAATCCTAACCTAACCTTAACTCTAACCCCTTACCCTAACAAAAAACAAAATAAAAATAAATTAATAATAATAAAAAAAACTAAAAGCTGATGGAAAAACTAGCACAATGATGCAACAGATGAAAGATTTCTCTATTGGCTAATAAAAAAATGGCAAAGCTCAAAAACGTCAAAAAACATTATATGAAAACATATGTACGAAAAACACTACGCCCAGATGTCAACGGAGCCTAACAGCTTCAAGTCTCCAGGCTAAGCTGCTCTAAAGTTGATCCATTGTGGACACACCACCTCCTGCCCTATCCTCTATTAAGAAAAGTTCTCTACCTGATTACACTGCCTGTAACACATTCTGTGAATGTGGGAGAGTCTGACCGGTCACAGGAATCTCTCCCCCATTCACAGATCATATTACACGCAGTTTATCATGGAGGAACTTTTCAGAATGTAGGAGAGGTAAGAGGGGGCTTGTCCTCTATAGTGCAGCTGAGCCTGGATACCTGAAATTGTTAACCCCCACAGCACAGAAATGTTTGCAGCAGAAAGAAGACAGGGCAACTCAGCAGTGAAGATTACTCCAGAATCCAGCAGCCTGCACATCATGGGGAATACCTCATTACAAGTATCTAAAGATCTAGAGAAAAAACAAGTTTTTTTAGCTAAAATGCAGCCTTATTGCTGATTATTCTAAGGATGAAAAAAAAAAACAGTTGTTCATCTG